AGAAGAAGAAGAAAATTGCTAAAGCATCACTACAAGCACGGACGAACGAACGAACACACACACACAAATACTTTTATAGATATTTGTGTTATTTTCTGTCAGGCAACAATGCATTAGTAGATTTAAACATACATTTACATTTAGTCATTTAGCAGACGCTTTTATCCAAAGAGACTTACAAATGAGGACAATGGAAGCAATCAGAATCAACAAAAGAGCAATAATATGCAAGTGCTGTAACAAGTCTCAGTTAGCCTAACGCAGTACACATAGCAAGTTTTTTTTATTATTATATAATAGATAACAAGAAAACAGATAGAAAGAATAGAAAACGAACAGAGAAAGCTAGTGTTAGAGGTCTTTTTTTTATATAGAAAACAAGCAGTTAGAAAACAAATAGAGTGCAAGTCTTAAAGGGTCATGTTTTTTTAATAAAAAAGAAAACAAATAGATAAAATAGAATTAGAATAGAGAGTGCTAGAGTTAGAGGGTCAAATAAAGATAACATACTTAAAACAAATGTAATTTAAGTTGATCATACGTCCTCTTTGAAAATATCCTGGCCAGGATTTCTAAATTGCCGAAAATGTCCCAGTTTGTATTTGTTTTTGTATTGTTTTAATACTTGCTGAAAGTAATGACTGAAAAGCAGTTTGACCAATAGCGTGCAGGCATTGTACATAATCGACCAATCGTGGCCCGCGAGAGGGTGGGATCTATGGAGAACGGTCACAGCAATGCAAATATGCGTAGGCCTACTACATATAATGTATGAGGAGTGTAGAGTGCAAGTCAATAGGAAAACAAAGCCAAAACTCGGACATTTTAGGCAACTGAGAAATCCCGGCCAGGACATGTCTAGAGAAATAAGGCTTTTAGTCAAGCGCCCTGAGATGTGAATGCGGCTAAATGGAAAACAGCGCCCTCTAGACGAAGAAACGTTTGTCTCACATACAACTTGACTGTCAACCAACAGAGGGCGCTGTCTGCAAACGTATTACATTCACAATTCATTCATTCACATTCCTTACATTGAGACAAATGTGTCTATCTGGCAACCAATAGTGCACTGTCTCACAATGTAAACCGCCATTTTAAAGTTTCAATCAAATCAAAATCACTCACTCGTTCTTTTCTGTTACTTGTTTTCAACATGTAGCTCAAATATGATATGGCCTTTGTCCCGGAGAAGCCCACATTGGCCTTAAATATGAATTCTGAAAGTTCAAGAAGATGATAAAGATGTCGTTTTGAAATGACTTGTAATAAGGCTATTTTGCCTCCTCCGCTAACAAGCCACAATCCCACCAGCATGTGCTTAAACATACTGACCAGAATCAAGTCAGTTGCAAAGAGTTGTATTAGTCAAATTAGTATATTTCACTACTGTTGAAACAAATCTTGAAAGTGCATCTTTTAAACGTTAAGGAATAGATGCATTTTTGCAACATTTGAAAAAGATTCACTCACTTCTCGAACGATTGACATCAACATCCAACAATGCCTTCCCAAAGTGCTTCATCTACAGGTCAGAAATCAAAGTTAGAAAGAAACCTGAAGTCAATAACTCACCAAATATTGCAAATATATGTTTCATTTTATACTTAATTTGAATACCAGTCCAGCAGATCATGATCTAAAGCAGTGGTTCGCAGACTTTTTTACTCCAAGGCCCATTGTTGTCCATAACAGTTATTCATATTTGTAAGAAATTTCCTCTGGCATTTCTGCTGTAACTGAAAACACTGCTTGTTTTAAAACTTTTTTGTACAAGTTATTATTAACAGTAACAAGAAGTGTTAATACATTTCATTTAATCACTGTTTTGTGATTCCAGGAAGTATAAGATACTATGCCCTTCAGTTAAAAAACAATAGTTATTGAAGGTGATTTAATTCAATTTTATATGGGCGGCAGGGAATGATCTAAAGATTTCTAGTCAATTCTGCATTTTTTGTCTTGTTCAGCAAACTCCAGTCAGTATCTCCTGTCCAGCCATCAGCCTGAACGGAAGTCTTCATGCTCGCCTGTCGTGTTCATGATGACCAACACTAGAGCTTATGTTTATATCATCTCAGGTAAAACCTAAGCACTGTACAGCATACAGTACATGATTTACACTTATTGTCCTTCAACATCACACTGCATGATTGCTTTCTTCAGGCGGCTGCTGCTCTCTTCAGCCTACGGCTCAACCTGTGACCGAACAGGTTTCCTCATCTGTCAAGAGTGAGAGCGAGCGGAAGTGAGCACAGATGTTAGACATCAATGATATAGGCTACCTTTGTGTGTTGAACTTGGCTGCTGATTTGATTTTAATATCATGCATCTTCTGCAGCTCAGAGGAGACAGTTTCCAGCAGCAGCATCAGTATGCTTTCTTTATGCTGCGGCTGCTGCAAACCCAACAGAGAAAACAGCGAAAATGACCCCGAACGCTGTGAATGAGACACTCTCAAAAAGACATGGCTGGACAAAGAGCCTGACATGTATCTGCAGTGTTGATGAAGTACACTTGGATATATATTTCTAAATGATTATATGTCAGAAGCTGCAGACTTTTTACCTTGCCAACTACAGATGTTTTTGTAACAGTTGAGTGAAACGCACATCTTTACCTTAGGCTCCTGAATTGATGTCAAGCATGAGAACATGTTCTACGGATATTAAAAATCATAATTTTTTTTACTTCAAATTAAAAAATGTATAAGATACTATGACCTCATTGGCATTAAATGTAACTTAAAAAAGAAATCTGTTATGTACTAATATAACTAAAACTAAAAGTGAATAATAATGAATAAAAACTATGTAGACATATGGGACCCTGGAGCACAAAACCAGTCTTAAGTCGCTGGGGTATATTTGTAGCAATAGCCAACAAAATTATGGGTCAAAATTATCAATTTTTCTTTTATGCCAAAAATCATTAGGATATTAAGTAAAGATCATGTTCCATGAAGATATTTTATAGAAGTCTTTTTATTGAAACACTCAATCAATTTCTCTTTCATAAGTCACCGTTTACAAGTTAACAGGTTTATATTAAGCTGAACACATATTCATAAACTTTTTCACACTATTTTTTTGCATAGCTAAACATTTTATATATAAAATATGTGAGTGTATTTTCATTTGGGCAATTTTAAAGGCGATTTTCTCAATATTTTGATTTTTTTTTTTTTGCACCCTCAGATTCCAGATTTTCAAATAGTTGTATCTCGGCCAAATATTGGCAAATACTACAAAAATGCAATGACATAGGCTAAATTACAAAATTACTAAAACTTTAATTAAAATAAAAAAATGAAAACGGAAAACATACAAATAAAAAAACTAAATATTAAAATATTAATAAAAACTATAATAGTATCTCAATGATACTAATTTATAACTTGGTGGGACACGTCATCAGCACGTGTTTAGTTATTACAATATATTGCTTAATAATATAGCAGCAGATGGGTTTAGTAATCCCTTACAAAACAAAAATATTGGAATATACTGGAAAATAAAATGTAATATATTACATAATACATTCCATACATATATATATATATATATATATATATATATATATATATTACATAGTCTTTTTATTGAAACACTCAATCAATTTCTCTTTCATAAGTCACCGTTTACAAGTTAACAGGTTTATATTAAGCTGAACACATATTCATAAACTTTTTCACACTATTTTTTTGCATAGCTAAACATTTTATATATAAAATATGTGAGTGTATAAGAAAAAAGTGTTTACTGCAAACAATATTATTTGAAGTTTTGGTCAGTTAGATGTCTTGTTAAAGGCATGGCAACATGGTGGATGAAAAATGGGATTTGACATACATAACTTAATCAACTGAGCATTTTATGTATAATATGTAACACTTTACAATAAGGTTGATTAGTTAACATTAATCAATGCATTAATTAATATTAACTAACAATGAGCAATACATTTGTTACAGTGTTTATTAATCTTTGTTAATGTTAATTAATGAAAATTCAACTGTTCATTGTTAGTTAGCTCAGGTCCATTCATTAATATTAATAGATCAAACTTTGGATTTTAATAATGTATGTTGCAATTAATATGAATGACATTAATAAATTCTTTACAAGTATTTTTCATTGTTAGTTCGTTAACTAATGTAGTTAACTAATGCTAACAAATGGAAACATATTGTAAAGTGTTACCTACAAATATATGGATAAATATCACAATATATATATTTTCTTCATAACTGTGTACATATAATGCACATGTTCCCATATAAATGTGATCATCTACTAGTAAATATGTTCAAATATATTTATACACACAGTACCATATTTTATCACATGAACATCTATATATTGTGTATTACTGAATATAAAATGACATACATTAATATTCTATATACTAATGTATTGTCACATATTTTCAGTATACATGAAAAGTGGGAATTCTTTATTATTTAATATATTGTACTATATTAATACAATATGTTATTTTGTATATTTTCAATATACATTAAATTTAATATATTGATTATCAATATAAAAGCAAATATTGTGGTGTAATATATAATGATTTTTACTTCGTGATCGTGATTTTGACACTGTCAAAATGTCTCACTGTTCTGATGCTGCTGTTATTCTAGTGTGTGTGTAAAGACTGAAACGAAACTTATATTATGACATTATAATCCTGCAAAAACAGCATTTTTAATATATTGTAATTCATATACAGTTTTAGCCTACTTACTTTCTTACACACTAAAACCATTACAAATCCAAACAGGGTAGCTAAAACATTATACACACGCACACAATTCAATTATATAACAATTGTATCATACATTGTACAATATGTAAGTTGTAGTATAACTATAGTATCTACAAAATCTACAGATATTCTTGTAGAGACCCTGCGTGTGAATGGAAAGTCTTTGTGACCTTTGCTCCACACTGCATCACTTACAGCACTTACTGTATAATGTTTTCCTTCATTACAACAGTTGACAAATATGAAGACCTATATATTGTATCGTACACGAATCATAAGATCTGCTCTCGCTGACTCATATGAAGACGTATGGCAGGCGTAAAAGTGTGGAAAAGGCCACTGGGTTTTGTTGTGTCACGTACAGAGAATACTCGAAAAACAGCGTGCAGATCAGATCAGCGTCGCCGATGCTCATTTAGTCCATTTTGCATCATCACGCCATATTTACAGGAAACTGCCGTCCGTTTTGAAAATATGACAAACTGTCTTGAGCTGCCAACCGCTTAATGTGTAAGTGATGTGTTGTGCATGATGTGATAAAATATGTGTAAGGCAAACAAAACCTGAAAACCTGCAATTAAACTGGACGTTTTAGGATTTTAAAATATTTTGACAAGGAAAAGTAGATGCAAAAATCAAATGCAAACAGAAAGAAACTGATGTACATTTTCTAATGCTATACCTTTCACTCAATGTGCATAATAATAATAATAATAATAATTATTATTATTATTATTTACAAACAAACAAAACCTCCCCCTTCCCCATGTAGTTGATGTACAAAATGAACAAAAAAATAATAAAATTGATGTA